AAAAAAAAATAGGAGAAAGTTAAGAGTGATTATCATAGGGGTTTGAGTGATGGATGGAAGAAGGCTGTTGTTCAAAGAAAAGAAAAGGAAAGAGTTACAACGTGTAAAATTTTAAAAAAAAAAAAAAAAAAGTTACAACTTAAAATATCTTATGTTCAATACGAAGCTACATTTTAAAGAGTATTTTTTTACATGTACACAAAGAAATTAGAGATGGTAGCTATACACTAGGTAAATATGGGCGGTTCATTTAACTGCCAGTTTTGATTCACAGAATCAAGGGTTCAAATTTTTAAAATGTTAAACCTGAATCAACCTTTGAACTGTCAGTTTTGATTCGTTTCAGTTCTATACACTCAGGTAGGTATTGCCGGTTCATTGAACTGCCGATTTTATTCACTGAATTGATGGTTCAAAAATTTTAAAATGTTAAACCTAGATCAGCCTTTAAATTGTCAGTTTTGATTTGTTTCAATTCTAGTGCAATTATGATGAACCGATGATTCTGATTATGGTTTTTGATACATATTTTTTTTTTTCAAAAAAAAAAATTAGTTTTAAGATTACATCTTTCTTTCAAACAGTTTTAAGATTACATCTTTCTTTCAAACAAATTAATGTGAATTTTAAAAAATATTGATAAATTTTATTTTAAATAACTTTTAGAAAGCTGATATTCATATAAGAAATAAACTTAATTAATTTTACAAAATAATCAAACATATAGTCATTTTATTTTGTCTAAATATTATTAAATAAATAAATTGTTAGAAAATTTTAAAAATCTTCAAATAATATAATTTTGAACAAAATAAAAAAATTAAAAGAAAAAAACATTAAACTCCTATTTGTATTAAATAATATAATTTTAGACTAAAAATTTTACTTTTTTTTTACTATTTTACTTTTTTAGATTTTTAACTTTTATGTAAAGTGTATTTTTCTTTTAAAAAAATTTTAAGTGTTTCATGCAGTAAAGAATATGTTAGAGGTGTATAGAATAGACTACGTGATCATAGTTTTGAAAATAAAAATAGAAAATTTTCAATTTGAGCTGAACCGAAACCTTATGTTAACAGTCAGTTCCATATCTGTTCAAAATCAAATTTTAACATTCACATCATTGATTCAATTAAAAATTTTGTACCAACATTTCGAGTTGGATTTTGATTCATCTACATTATAGTTTGATTCCAATTGCAATCTACATACCAATGCTCAAGAATTTAATTTTAATGAAAAAAATTGAGTGAAAGATCGGAATCTAAGTGTTTCAATTCTGTTTTTTTTTTTTTTTTTTTTTTATAATGCGGGTTGTTATGGTATGAAAAATAAAAATAAAAAAGAAAAATCAAAGCTATTTAAAATCAACAACAGAAAAGGAAAACTATTTAAATGAAACACATTCAAGTGGTTGTTACATGCTAGTTTGTCCCCTTGGCGTTCGGTTACGGTTTTACACTTTACAGCTCAAAATTGGGTAGTGAGAGTTAAAAACTTCAACAATTCATTGCTGTCGTTTTGATTTATTGGGTCAATGTCTTATTCACTGTCAGTAGTTAACAAGGAAATTTAAAACATGAAAGATAAGAAATTTGCCACTCTTACTTTGGAATTCCAAAAATGTTTATATTTTAGATATTATTTTTTAAATTATTTTTCATTTTCAAGTAATTACAATGTATTTGACTTTAAAAAAAAAAAATTCAAAAACAATCAGCTATTAGGATAAAAACTATATATATATATATAATATATTATAATGTTAGAAAATATAATCAGTTATTATATATATTGTTAGAAAAATATAATCAGTTATAATTCTTGATTAACTGATGATTTGAATATATGATATTTGGTTAATTTTGATTAATTTATATGTTTTTGGTGCTTCATTTCACCCATCCGTTGATAAATTTATAACTAATTAGCATGTAATTGTTATATTTTTAATAATTTATAGTCGTAATTTCAACATTTTCATGGTCTCTTTCAAGTTTTATTCCGCCTAATTTCTGGTTGAGACTTTAAGCGGCTAAATACAACGCATTATCCCTTTATACTAAAATATGAGAAAGTACCTACGGATTATGACTCAGTTTAATAACGTAGACTTATGAAAAAATTTCTCGTGTTCGATCCCAATTAAATGCACCTATAGGGAGGGATGAAGAGCCTTAATTGTGATTAAGCTTTGAGCCAGATTAGGGGTCCCTGATAATAGAGTTCGGATACTTGATAGATATATGCCAATATGAATAGCCAAAACCTTCAATTTCATCCCGAACTTTTCGAATAGTTATAATTTCACTCTAGATCAACCTTTGTAGTTTGGGCACCTTGAACTTATCACCTTAGTGCAATTACACTCTAATTTGTTTTAGGGTGCATTTACATCCTAAAAGTGAATTATAACACCATGAACTTGTCAATTTGTTGCAATTGCACCCTAAAAGTAAACTAAGGTTGGAATTTTAATTAAAATAATGTAAAAGAATGAACTCCATAACCCATTATTTATACTATCAATAATAAAATCAAACTCAAGTATTCATATGATAAATAAATAAAATCAAGATTGAATATTTGATTTTAAAATTGAACCAATTTTAAAATGCAAAAATAATGAGTTGGATATTAATTTAAATTATTAAAATGCAAAAATAATGAGTTGGATATTAATTTAAATTAGAGTGTAATTGTAACTAGTTGATAAGGTGTTGTAATTCACTTTTAGGGTGCAATTAAACATTAAATGGAAATTAGGATATAATTACAATTAAATTGATAAATTCGAGGTATTCAGATACAAAGATTTATTTAGAGTGAAATGACAACTATTCGAAAAATTTGGGATAAAATTGAAGGCTATGCCTTGCTTTTTCACTATACCGTCTAGGAATCTCAATTCATGAAAATGAGACCCATGGCAGTACAAGCATTAAAGCATACGAATTTTGAATCAAGAAAGAACATGATATTCCAGTTTTGGGGCTCGTGGCTGCCCCTTGTTGCTTTTCATGAATCAAATCCGATCTTATAGCGATTGTCTATTAAATTTAAATGTATCTTAAACACTTAATCCATTTAAGTTTATTTTTTTATTAATTTATCTTAATGTCATTAGTCATTATTTGACAATTTTCTTTCATATCGTTTTCCTTTTAGAAGAAAGATATATAATATATGACTTTTCAAGCATAGATGCTGATTTGGCACAATACTAGAGTGCTGTCCTTGCTGATGTGGCTCAAAGTTAGGATATTACTACATATTTTGTTGAATTGGAAATTTCTTTTCATTTTAAATAAATTATTTTTTTAATGTCATTGACATAAATTTTCTTCGGCTTTTGACAAAAATAATGCTTTTCAAAAAATTATTTCTCAGTCTAATGTTTTTCCTCATATGGAGAGAGAATATTGCAATAAAATCACCAACTTTAAATGGTGGTTTTAGTGCAATAAAAAAATAACTCATACTGACAAACAGTCAATAAAAAATAATTATATGAATAAGCAACAATTTTTATTTTGCATTGAGACCACCAATCTAATTGGTGGTTTCAATACAAAATGAAAATTTTAAGTTGTTAATTTGCCTTTTTACTAAAACACACAATTCGTTTGATGATTTTATTGCAATTATGAGAAGCGAGCACTGGTCAGTAAAAAGTATATGGGGAAATAATATTTTTAAAGTCCACCAGGTTAGCTAGTGGTTTCTGGTAAAAAAATATTTATTTACTCAAAATATTTTTTCATCAAAACACACATGTGTTATGGTGGTTTTAGTTCACAATTATTTCAAGTTAAATAATTATCAACATAAGTTTCTTTAAACAGTTAAAAATTACCAAGAGTAATATTTCTAGTATATTTCTATATTTTTTTTTGTCTAGGTGCAGTAAATATTTGTAGTGAAATATTTTTAGTGCATATTTCTAGTTTATGATTTTAATATATTTCTACATTTTTTTTCTAGATGCAGTAAATATTTATAGTGTAATATTTTTAGTATATTTCTAGTATGTATGTATTTATAATAGATTTGTAGTATATATTGTGAATGTTTATGATATTTATATAATTTTTACTTGCAATAATTTTTTATTGATTTCCATATATCGATCATAATTGTAGATCATAATAATAATATTTATTATATCATAATTGTAGATCATAATAATAATATTTATTATATATCACGAAAAAGTAGATTTATATATGGATTATAATAGTAGATCATAATAATAATATTATGTTTTTTTTATAGTAGATCTGTAGTACATAGAAGATGCAGTACGTCGAAACCCACATCGTAATATGAGGCCTCCAACGTGTGATACAGGAGGACAAGTGAGTAGATATTAATATAATTAATTTTCTATGTATTAGTTATTAAGACATGTTTAACATAATATAAATACTCGAAACACTGTATTACTTTTGATAATTTTTAATTGTGTAAGGAAATTTATGTTGTTATTACTTAACTTGAAATAATTGTGAACCAAAACCACTAATTCATATGTGTATTTTGGTGAAAAAATATTTTGAGTAAACAAATATTTTTTTTTATTGAAATCACTAGTTAACTTGGTGGACTCTTAACAACACACTGTTTTTCTATTTACTTTTTACTCACTAGTTGTCATATCTCATATTTGCACTAAAACTACCAAATGAATAGTGTGTTTTAGTGAAAAGACAATTTTAAAAATTTAAAATTTTTATTTTGTATTAAGACCATCAATTGGATCGGTAGTCTTAATACAAAATAAAAATTATTGTTTATTTATATAATTACTTTTTATTGATTGGTTGTCAATACGAGTTACTTTTGTGCAACAATCTCTCTCCATGCTAAAACAAACATTAAATTGTTAAATAGTTTTGAAATAACATTAGATTGGGAAATATTTTTTTTGAAGAGCATTATTTTTATCAAAATCCCAATTTTCTTTCCATTATTTCATTATTTTTATTTTTATCAAAAACCCAATTTTCTTTCCATTATTTCATTATTTGATTGACATTATTCAATTTATTACACACCACAACAGCGTTTTTTGGTACATTTGAAAGTAAAAACTAAAGCCAAGAAAACTATAACCTATCTTCTAAAAACCCACCCCTATCTTATAGTTATCTGCATGCAATATATCAGTAGGTGAACTTTACTTTGCAGATAGAATATAAGAAGTTGAAAATTAAGGACGGTATGGAATGGGAACCAATTCAAGGTCTACTTTTCTTTTGACAGCTGCTCCAAAAGCTTCGTTCATGTCAAGATTTTCTGCAGTTACTCCTTTAGGAAATTTCCAGTCAAAATGATATAGCAAGTTTGCCAGGAAAATCTCCAGATTAGCCATACCTAGAGTCATTCCAGGGCATATTCTTTTTCCTGCTCCAAATGGAATTAGTTCAAAATTGGTACCCCTATAATCAATTGCACTATCAATAAATCTCTCCGGTTTGAATTTCTCAGCTTCACTCCAAACTTTAGGATCTCTTCCGATTGCCCATGCGTTAATGAAAACCCGAGTGCCAGGATAAACGTCATATCCACTCACCTTAGTCCTTTCCCTACAAACCCTTGGAACTACAGCTGCTGCAGGATGTAATCTCAATGTTTCTTTATTAATTAAATTTAACCATTTTAATTCTTGAAGTTTTGCTTCGTCAACCTTTCCATTTTCACCAAAGAAATTCCGCAATTCTTCTTGTGCTTTCTTCATTATTTCTGGCATTCACTCAAGCCATTGCCCATTCTGCCGGTTTTTGAGGATGTGTCCTATCCAGCTTCCCAAACATTTATCCTGCAATTATTAAAATCATCCAGTTGAGCTTGAAATTCACACATTGGAACCTATTTAAAACCTTTTCTTTTTTTCAAAAAAAAAAAAAAAAAAAAAAAAAAGAAAAAGAAAAAGAATGGAACTAGAAAATACTAATATACACTAACAATGATTGCTGCTTTGATGGCGACATCAGTTAAAGGAACATCAAGATTTCCGCTTTGTTGAAGATCCAAAAGAACATCAAGAAGATTATCAGCTCCCCTCTGATCGCCATTCCTGGAAGCCGCTGCCTGCCTGTTAGCTCTATGCTCTTGTAAAATATCTTCAAGGATCTCATCTGTTTCATAATGCAATTTCCTAATTCAAGACCTTTCCCTTTGGACTGAAGGAAGCCATTTTAAGGAAGGAAATATATCAGCTATACCAACACCTCCTATTGATTCAATTATATCATCAATAAGTCTTAGCAATGCTTCTTGGTTTTTGCTTTTATGACCAACCGTATTTCTTGCAATCATAGAATTTGCTAAAGCGAATAAAGTATGAGTAAGATTAACAGGACTTCCCTCTTTCGAACCAAGAAATTTGACTAAATCTGCGACTTCTTCTTCTCTCACTGATCGAAAGGACTGTACTCGTTTCTCGTTTTGCGGCTAAGTAATTCCAAACGTGCAAATTTTTCATTTCGCCTCCACTTTGATCTTCCGTAACAAAACCAAGAAACGGATTGTTCGTTTTTCAGTTATATAAAGCACTATTTTCTAGCTGCAACCGAGAAAGCGGCTCGTTCTGCGGAAAACGGGAAATCTTGTATTTTCATTACTTCTTTTAAGCTGGTTTCCGGCGAGGACACGACAAGTAAAGGAATCTTGACCGAGTTTAATTACCCATTAACAATGGGTCCGTAAGTTTTGCCAAGGCTGTTAACCTGCGATGAGGTACATCTCCGGCCCGAGCTGGAGGCAATATTACCAAAGAAAGGTAATTCCGTGGTTCCGGGGCGGGAGGGTTAGAATCATGTTTGTACCAATTTCTGATTACTTTGAAAATAAGACGAGAAGAAAAAGAAGGAAACTTGAAAAGGAACTTGAAATGAGAGGATTGGTCTTTCCATAGTGAAAAAGCTATTGGTTTATGAAGAAGATCGGAATAGAGAACGAGCTAATGGTGACTGGTAGACATAACTGGCATCATTTATGTAGGGTTAGTCTGGATAGAGGACGGACAGGACAGCCATTATCGTTGTTTCGGTTTTTGACTTCCTTATTATTTATTTTATTTTTCTAATATTAATAATTTATTTATATCCAATAATAATATATTCCTTAATTACTAAACTATATTGTGAAATTATTCATACAAAAAGAATATTATATTTACTCAAAAAATATGTTGATGATTTTTAGCTTAGGATAATGTCAAGTTATACCATTAAGTTGCTTTTAGACCAGAATTTTATACTGTCTTAGCTGGCCCTCGGAGAACAACCACCTCCATAAATTGGTATTAATGTTATATTCACACTTTTTTATTAAAAGAGGTTTTAACATATTCGAATGAGTTTCCGCGTGTCGAAGCCTGTTTTTATAAGGTCGTAATTTCGTCAATAACTTTCTATAGAATCCAGTTTCATCGATTTAGTTTAATAGTGCAGATAGGATTTTTGCTCTATACGTTAGGACGTGGTATCGGCTCCATTGACTTTTATCTTGTTCCATATAAAATTAAAATATAAAAAAAACCTTATAAAATTTGAAAATATAAATTTTTGTTTTTAAAACCACCTATGATTTAAATTTAATTTTTTATCCTTTTTTCTTTTTTCCAAAGGAAAAAGATAATTACTTTAAAATATTGTCTTCAATAAAAAATCTATTTTCATTAATAAGAGGTTAATTAAGAAGTATATCTAATTGGGATAAATTAATTTTAAAAAATTGAAACTAATGCTAATTAGCAACACTCGTGTGTCCTTAAAATAAATAACCTGCTAAAAATTTTCATATATCAAGAAATAAATCGAAATGTAATAAGTTAAAAAACAATTCGTTAAATTAATTTAGCTTGGACCTAAACTAAATACATTATTAAAATAGTTTAAAGCATAAAATGAGAATAATGTTAAATATCAAATCTCAAAACTTAATAGATAAAAGTATGACTACATCAAATAAAAAACCACAAGTGAGGCCATTAAGCAATAGAACATCCAAGGAAAACAAATCGCAAAATAATTCTTTGAGCTTAAATAAACCTTGAAAAACAAGAAAAAATAAATACAATTCATACGAAAACTCCGACTTTTGCATTAAAGTCAAAGCAAAATATAATGAATTTGATTAAAGAAGTCTCTAACCTCTTACAAAGCTTTTACCGTTATTTCTTAATCCCCTTTTAAGCTGAATTTGTCTTGGATCCTAGACATTAATTCCTGTATGTCGTGAAAGAACGGCTGATATGACAATCTATATCCTATATATATAGCAAATAATGCTAAGTAAGGGGACTTTAGTTTTTAGAAGCTTCAAAGCTCGAAGCTTAATAAATATCCACCGAAAGCTTCGATCGTCAATTCTCTCATTTTGAAAAGATTAATTGTTTCTCCTTAAACCCAACATATGAAGAGTGTTTGTAATTACTTGGTATTATTATATTAATGAACTAATATTTCTTAAGAAAAAAAAAAAAAAAAGTGAAAATGTACTAACAACATTTGATAATCTGAAATAATATTGTACCCACTGGACACAATTCGACATTATGAGACTTAATTGGTAGTGATATAAACTTATGTGAATATTAATATAATATGGAGAAAATTAATAAAATATTAGTTAACTAAATTCATATAATAGGTAAAAATTATGGTTATAATTATTCCTAATTTTACAAGTTTAACAGTGAACCTATTAAGAAATACTTAAAAAAAAAAAAAAAAAAAAGCCAAGATTTCATATAAGCAAATATGTTGTTATCCACCTATTTGGAAACTTTTTTGAATTTTTCAAAAATTCCATAGTAGTTACTATTTCCAATCAAACTGGAGTTTGAGCTTTAAAAAAAAATCATCTTTAGTAATACAATTCTGATATTTTTTCAAGTTTAAGCAATTAATTCCAGTAAGAACCACAGCTAGTCTAGAATCCAAATCCATATTTGAACAAGAAGGCATTAAGGTCCGAATCTACTTTTAAATACTGATTCAAATTGGGTATATTCCAAATTCATAATCCAATAAAATACAACTTGATTACGTATTCTTTCACATTATATTAAGGGTTCAAAATAACCCTATTTAGATATACATCATTTCAATCTATTCATATTCAATTTACAATTCGTTATGCGAAAAATGCTTTCAACGTCTTTCATAATCAGCAAAAGAAAAAGACAATTTTGACTAGCTGACGAAAGCATTTCTTTCTAATTAGCATAGCTTATGCAAATTTGGGATTGCTCTCCATCTGATTGAAATCGTTCTTTTGTCTTTATCCTTGAAATTGAATCGCATGCGAATATATTATAGCTATTTTTTGTTTTTTTTTCTTGTGGAAAAAAAGAAGAAAAGGAACACATAACTTAAGTTCAGAACATATCAAGGGTTATTTTGCCCCACCCCACAATTATTCACGCTGCATGAGACTAACGAAAGAGTATATGGGATTATAATTTTGTGCTTTAGATTTTAAAAGAATTATTGAGTTTGATGGGAAATAAAAAAGATTTTCTAAAAATTTTCACAGATTCCACAAAAAATTCTACGTTTAGAGTTTATGAAACTTTGCGGGAACTTTTTATACATTTGACTGACTTGATGAAGAATTCACAACTATATATCCCATCAAAAATTAAATTTCAGGAACTTAATTGAATCAAATTAAAAGGTTTTAGAGCAATTGAAAAACTGAAAAAAATAATAAGGGACTAAAAAAGGAAAATACTTAATCTTCTCCAAAATCATATTTCTGTTAAGACTTCCCATTCCCTATCGACAGTTGGAAAGGGCTTGCAATGGCAGTGTCGGCAGCGGCATCCCGCTCCCGTTTTAACCGCTATATTAAAACGGTTCGGGCGGGGTAGTGGGTACTTATCAATTATCTAGTAAAAAAATGTATCAAAAGAAGTTCGAAATTTTGATAGTTAAGATTCGCCGGTTACCCTTATCCGTTTAAGAGATACTTTCAACGGGTTTTTGGACGAATACAGGTAGGTAAATATTTTAAAACGGATTGAATATGGGTTAACTTAAATAGATATTTAAACGGGGTTCACACACGGATACAAGATAATAAAATTATTAAATGGAAATGCAGGTAGTTTAAAATTTGCGGGGGTAACCTCTTCCGCTATTCCATCTATTTAAGGGGTGTATTGGATCAAGAGCTAGGGTTTAGATTTTTAAAAAGATTTTGAAAATCTTTTGATTGAGGATGAATTTGTGAATGACTTTTATTCATATGTAACACTTCTAAAAAATCCAACGGAAAATCTAAAATTTATATAAAAATCTTTAAAAACGAGCAATTTTTTAGTATACCATCAAAGTTTAAGACCTTCAAAAAGTCATAATTGAATTACCATCGGATTTTTGATGAATTTTAAAAGAGTTTAGATTGAATAGCCACAAAAATTTTAAATAGACTCTAAAAGAATCGTAAATTGAACACCATGTAGAATTTAAATCTTATATCGCATACTCTGGAATTCAATGACCCACCCTCCTAAGCCAGGGGGCGATGAGACTCAAAAACTGTGATTTCCGCATTAACGTAATTCATTAGTTGAGCCATAAAGTGGTGCCAACAACTGTCCAAGAATTGCTCCCTATATTATGCGAAAAAGACCGGACCCCCAGCTTCGCAAGCTGCCGTCTGGATTTCAACACCAATTATAAACCGGAAAAAAGCAATAGCCTGATTAACCTTGCCAAACCGCTTGAGAATTATTCCA